ACATTCCTTCCACACCTCCAATAACAAATAGTCTTCGATAAATCCTGCAAATAAGCTCAAAAGACGGGAAAGCACCCGTTAAAGGAGAAAAATAACAAAAAGAGAAAATATGCTTGAAGATTAACTAAAATGAGATGTAATGTGCTAAAATAAACTATAAAAAGAAGTAAATAAAATGAAACTATCAGGATGTGTCTAATGCTCATTAAACCTCTTAATTTCATTTTTTTATACTCATTGGGCCGAGAATGGGCTTAATGAATGAATATGAAATGGCTTTGGGCTCAAATCCTTGGCTTTGCTCAAATTTCATAGGCCCAATATTATTTTTCGGCCCATTGGGCTTATTAGATGGTTCACGGCCCATTTGAATGAAAAAAGGGAGTTTATGGCCCATTAAGGCCCATTAGGGTTAGAATGAATCATTATAGGCCCGTATGGTCCAAAATGTTATAGATTTATGAATTGGGTCCATTTAGAATCCAAATAGGGTTTCTAAGCCCAATATAGTCGAATTGAATGCTTATTGGTCCATTAGGCCCAATAAGAAAATCCTAGTCCATAAAGAACTTGAACCGGGATTTTTAGGGTTTTCAACTCCCAATTGACTTTCTGAAATGTTTTGCATAGAGTTTTAAACTACAATTGTGGATCCCGACTAAGTTTGTTGTCATAGAATGAACATAGCGTACGATAACAAATTAGAGTTACAAATATTATCATAGATGGCATTTACATGATCACATAATTTCCTGGCTAAAATGTCAGTTGTGACATTTTCTCAAAAGACTTACATTAAATGTGTTTTTGCATATTATAATATAGAACAATGCTCCCCTTCAACTGCTCTCATAGTCAAAGGGCGCATTTTCGCTTCTTCTCAATGCCCGGAAACGGAGGTAGAACAGGAACAAATGAGATTGATACATTATGCTTGTATGACAGGAAGCCTAATGTATCCTCAAGTTTGTACTTGTCCCGATATCGCTTATATTGTTGGAATGCTAAGTCAATATCATTTTAATCTTGACCTAATTTTTTTATTATATATTTTTATTTAAAAATAAAAATTTATAATATGTATAAGGGCCTTTTTTTACTCGTCCTGGGCATTTGAAAATATTTACTTCCTCAATACCGGCCATAAGTGTGATTATGGGGATCTCATATTGATAATGATACGAATGGCTGTTATCTTTTGATATGTCTATAATATTAAAAATGATGGACATTACTTTGACCAAACTTATGAATATTCATCAGTCATCACAAATGGCCACTCGTCTAAATGGAAAAATGCTAGAATATTTTAACTAATATGTGGCTTGTGGACCATATCTATAATAATTATTTAATTGTTACTATATTTACATATTGTGAAAACTATGCTAACATGACATAATGGGTATCCCATCTCTCCTAAATGTTATTTTATAGAAGTAACAAGAAGAAATCATATTCTCCTTTAGATGTCTTAAAACACACAAAGAATATCGGAGGATTCTCTCTCATGGTCTAAGTAAAATTTCTAAGAACACCAATTATATTTCAAACCAATAATCTATGGATTTAGTCATTTAGAGATCACAATGGACATCAATTCATCTTCTGCATCAAACACCCCTTTAAAGATTGTTTCACTCAAGTACACTTTTTCTATTGAAATAATTTTAATGTGTTTTAATTGATTAGAAAAGTAAAATGGACAACTGATTCTGAAGTTTAATCAACAACAAACCAACAACACTGTAACTCTTTAACATTGAGCTTTTGTTAAATTGTAAGGAAATCAAGATTTATCAAGAAACCAAAATTCATCTTCTTCATCCTCGTGGTTTATTCTAACCTCCTTCATCACTACCATATCTTGTGTCCTTCCCTACCATTGATGTCTAGTACAAACGATATTTGATCAATCTCAAGCTAAAAATTCCAACTGTTTTCCAGATAGATTTAAACAAATCTAAACAAACAAACAAAATGATTGTCAATCAAATGCAAATCCAACAAAAAGTTTTAATTTAAATTTAAGTAATAATCATAATAATTAGAATACCCGTAAAAAGAAAAAAGATAAATAGAAAAGACAAAGAAAAATAGTCGTTCTAAAGTGAATTTATCATAAAAATAAATAAAATAAAAAAATAAATAATAAGTGAAGTCAATTTAGGGATTTTATAGACGACTTTAAAAGAAAACATCGGAAAGCAAACTTATTTTTTTTTCCAAGTACAAGAACTATTTGTGTACTTTTTTATAGGAAAAATAATGGCATGGCCATATTTATTGACTTGGTTGCCTCATCAAGTGATATTTTTTACTTTATTTTAAAATTTCAACTAATAATTTTAATTAAATGTATTAGTTAATAATCTCTTTATACAGACCATTGCCCCACCAGCTCTAGCCGCCACCACCACCACCACCACATGGAGTATAGGTGGTAATGGTGTAATATCGAAATGCGAGAGGGATGTAGAAGAAAATATATATAATCAAAACAAATAAAATAAAATAAAAAAACTGATTAGAATAATAATTTAAAAATTAAAACTATAAAAAAGTTAAATTAATATTTCCTGTCAAGAAATTGTATATTTTGCAGATGACATGAATGATGTCACAATCGATTAAATGTTATAAATATATAATTATTACGGATTAAAATTAAAATACATTACTTGTATCGATAGAAAAACAAACTAGTTAGTTTGTCTTAACTTATCTTAAACGTATCAATAAAACTTGAAAATTTGTTATCAAACTAATCTTAACATTTTTTTTATTAAAGTAAATATCTATTTATTTGATTCATGTTTCACAATATATGGTATAAAAGTCTAGAAATACAAACAAATCCCATATCATATTGATAGAATGTAAACTAACAAAATGTAGCTCAAATGTACTATGGGTCGTAATTTCGACCCGTTTGACTGATATTTTATATTTATATGATATAAAGTCTAAAGAAACAAAAAAACCCATGTGATGTCACGGTCCAGGATGGTGGGGACAAGAGTTATTATGGAAAATTCTTTGTGGCCATATTATTATTCCCCAACAAATACTTAACTTTCTATCTTTCCCCTTGGGCATGCTTTGTTTGGCTTCTTCATCACTCCCCACTAATTCTATCATCAATTTTGGACACCCTTTTGGTCAAAGGTGGTTAAGTTCTCATGTCATTCAACATCATCCACACTCTTTTTTTCCTCATTCAATACACCAACTTT